AGCAGTTAAATGCCTGTTATTTGACCGTTTTTTGACATTTAAAAAAATGCGAAATAAATGCATTTAAACGTTCCCAGTTATAATGGCAAAAAACGGCCTAAAAACGGGGTCAAATGTCATAAAAATGTCATTTAAATGCTTATTAACAGCGTATTAAATGGCATCTAATTGGCAATTAATTACACCGTTTTCGACGCCCTGGGTTTCTATTTGGATGAATTTTTGCGTACTCATTGTTATCGCCGCTGTTTCTTTTATTTTTACTATGCTTTTTCGTGGACGTTTTCTAGTGGCCGCTTTTTTTCTTGCGTGCACGTAGTTCGATGTTAAATCTACAGTTTCCTAATTGTTTCGTTTATGTATATTTTAGCCTAGATACCTTTTACTCTACAATCGTAGATTTGGACACGGATTTACAATCCAGATCTTTCATCTTTCAGCAGTGCTTTTCTATCAAAAGCAAAAACGAGACACAAGTACGCAAACGATCAAGGAAAGAAATTTTTTAGACTCAAATGTGATTCAAAACCGTTTATTGTTATAGAAAAGCCGAACGAAAATCTCTCTTCAGCTTATTGGGAAATATTTAATGTACCAGCAGCATTTCTGGCGAATGGTAGTTTACAACCACCTAAAGCGTTCGCTAGTTGCCTATTTTGTCACAGAACATCTAAAAAAGCTTTGTCAAGCACGCAAAAAAATCCAGAAACGCATCGTTCTGCTTGGAATCACATGTGTATAGATAGAATGCGGTAGAACGTTTAGCTTGATTATTTTCCAACTTCATCCGACGATGTTTAAACTAGATGCCGATTTAACGTTTCGGCAACTCTAACATTTGACATGATTCGATTCGTCTTGTACAACTAAGATACCACGTGAACTGAGTTTCTTTTCTAATTTGTAAAATGGTACTTGTGTATAATGTGCTTCAAAACGTCAGCGCTATGGTAGAGTCGGAGCAGCTCTAGCTGTAGGAGCTGCTGCTGATGTCTGCTCAGGGAGATGAGAGGGGTTGTCTGACTGATGACGGCCTCAGTCCTGTGTCTGCTTATCATTATCAACATCATAAACTAAAAATAGAACACCAAGAAATATATCGTCAATTATTGCCATCAATAGACGCGTACTTTTGTTCTTAGTTCCCTAATGTCGTATCTCTGAAACGTCTCCCTGAACCAAAATGAATTATTCTACAATCAATTTAACTCAGTTTATAATTGAATTTGTGTCCAATAAAATTTCTTTTCTTTTTTGGAAACAAAATTTGATCGTCTGTCTCGCAACCTTCAGGGCATTAAAAAATATGAGAAGTTTTAGATTTATAAAATTACATAAAGCCGTTTAGAAAAGTATTCAATTATGTCTCTAACGTCAATGATAAGTTATGGTATCTACCCTAATTTTTGGTGTCTATACACATTTATTTCTCTTTTCTTTATTGTTTCGATATAAAGTAGTTGCTCGCACCAGATGTGTTTTATGTACGTGTTTGTGCGTATATACTGTACGTTGTGATGTACGTGTATATTTTTAAAACCTGACCTTGCCATTATTCATTTAACCAATAACTGTAAAATCATCTTGTTTCACAAGATAACATTCAATTATGACTGACGAAAAAATGAAACGTTTCCACGTTCATCGTCTCACTGTCGAACAAGCAATGCTACCAATGAATAATATTAATAGATTGAAAACATTTTTTACACCAAATGACATAAAACTGTCTGTTATTGATTCGTCATCATCAAGTAAAAGTTAACAATTTCTTCTTTCTGGTTTTTAAATCAGCATCTATCTCTAGATATTTCAGATAACCTACTTCATATCGATGATCTTGTACGAGTTTATGACAAAAAGGAACAAATACCGAATGCCAAAGAAGTAGAAAAACCTGAACGTATTGAAGGAAACGAAATTCAAATAATACGTTTAATGTTATCAACGGCATTTGCTAACAATGAAAATAGTCAAAAGACGATTAGTTCTTCGGAAAAAAAATTAATACAAAACGAACATTCAAATTGGATACCTATCGAAGGAATGATGAATAATGTGAGTTTAGTATTCACTTTCAATATCTTTTTGAACAATCTCTACGATAAACTTATTTGTCACTAGATTTAGTAGTATGCATGATTCGATTAATCTGATATGATTGTTTCTGCTCTTATATTTCCTATATTGAGTCATTACACCTATTTATTTTTTTTAGATTACTCATTATAGTTCTGGTTCATCACCTATGCAGAGTAGTCATCACACAACACCAATTCTTAGCGATACACACCTACTTTACGATGAAGAAAACGATGTTAGTGATCACGAAATTCGCTATGTATTATCATTGTACGATTTTATCGATGATAATATTGATGAAAACGATACGGATCACTCTGATCAATTTATTGATAATTTTTTCATTCACACTCCAGATACATATAATCCACAAATTAAACCTTCTCAATTAGGTCAACTTGTTTATTCATACATGTTACCATCGTTGAATTCTGTAGGAACATCGGATTTGACTAATCAAGAAAATTATTTGCAAGATTCGAAAAAAATATCAAACGCTAATCCAAACTATCGATCATATAAAACTCGAACGACAGAAGTGCTTTATTAAACTAAAGGTTGCTACAGTCCGTCTGAAATAAAAATCCGTTTTATGACAAACTGATTAATCGTTTACGGAAGATAGATGTACTACTAATCGAATAAGTTAGAGTGCATATACACTTGGAAAAAAATCCACCTTTTGTTCGGGATGTGATGCTATAATTTATTCTTTGTTTTTATATTATGTCTCGGCAACCACACAAGATAAAAATTTGAAATATGGCATAAATGTAGGTACAAGTGAGAAGAATAGAATACGTAGAAAAAAAACTATTGAAATGCATTTAATAATACAAATCATGATGATTAAACGATAGAATAGAAACACCATTCACTCGTATCAATAATATTGTATTCAGTAATATTTTCGTCAAACGTAATGTCAATGACAATTTTTTTGACATATTATTACTCATAAAAAGGCGAAATCATAGGAATGCTGTTATACACTTCTCTCTCACTCCTCTCCTTTCTACAATAAAAATAATTCGTTTGTTTTTACCAGGATTTTACGCAGTAATGCATGCAAGATTGCTCACCAAAAATGAGGATTTTTGTTAAAACAAAAAAGAAAAGAGAAAAGAAGCCCTGTATTGGTTAATAATATTATCGGGAAATGTTAATTATTGATAGAAGATGAAAGTTTTCAAGAACTGTAAAATAGCTATATCAATAAGCAAACTAATAAAACTGAAAAAACCGTCTTTTGTTCAGAAAATTGCTCATTCTTAGGAACTTCTTAGTTTTTATTTACAGACAATCTGTTTTATCATGAAATATAAGTAAATTTGTTCGAAACTATACGTAGGAAATAGTTTATGTAAAATACGAATATTGTGGAAATGCATTGAACTCTGTATTATAGAAACGTTTCATCTGATTTTTTGGGATTTATTTGTGGATTGCTGTTTGATGAACAAGTTGCTTATCTTTTATTGGTTTTATTTTTTTATTGAATAGTAAGCACAATAATCTAAGATAAAGACTTTTCATTTTCATTTTTTCCAAATATTAAACTCTCATTTGTTATTTGGTATTTCCTATGACTTCTATGCTGGTTAATTCCTTGTTCTTTTATTGTTTAGTTATTTGTTGATGTATTCTTATTTGTTGTTGTTGTTATATTAACGTTTTACTTGGGAAAAAGGCTAATAGTCACATAGAATTCTGTAAAATTATGTTGAATTGTATACATTTTCTAAAATGTATTTTTGACAGAAATTTCGACCTTTGATCGATCTATTTGCTACGTGTAGTTCCGAAGAAATTACGTACATTTTTGAAAACTGTCTGAAATATATGAATTCTACCATTGCTGGAAACTCTTTCATAAGTCATTTCATACTACCCCGGACAGAATTCTTTTGAAAGATGTCTCCTAAATAATTCCTGGATTCTACGTTATTGTTATTTTTTGTGTGAAAAATTACGCTATCTTTCTCATATATTATATAACGAACAAAATAGCCCAGAACAATAATGTTGAAAAATTTCTTAAGATCGGTTCTAAACCTTTCAAGAACCCTTCAAGCGATTTTTGAGAAATCTGGTAAACTCTTAAGCTAAACTTAGATCAAGTTAAGTTATATAAATGCAAAACTCAACGATGGCAGAAGAACGACAAGAAAAATGCATAGGAAAATCTTATTCAAATCTCGACCAAAATGTAGAGCTAGATTTACTAAAGCTAATCAAAATGAAATCCAGGAGCAAATATTGTTTTTGTTCAAAAGCTTTTTATACAATTCTTAGTGAGAAATTCTTAGAAATACCCATGTGAACGTTTGCGTTTGAATGCGTCTAGAAGGAAATATCTGGACGCGTCTGGTTATAAGCGCGTTTCGATACGTCCAGATCTTTCATTCTGGACGCGTTCAAACGCATCTGCTAGTAACGTTAAACGCGTTTGTGACATATAAAACTTTTTACATGGATAAGATCTAAATTTTGTACATGTGGGTAGAAATTATTTAATACAACTAGGGACGTTCGGTTCTCGTGAAGAACCGGAATCACGGTTTATTAGACGATTCCTTTTTTCTGGAACCAAGACTTTTTGACTTGCCTTTCTTTTAACAAAATGAAAACATACTATTGACAATGCTACAAAAATATGTATTTGCCTGTCATCATTTAAAAGAATCCTTTCACTTACTATAGAATTAATTCTATTTCGTTCAATTGTTACTGCTTGAAAAATTATTTTCCGGTTCTAAACTGAGAACCGCGGTTCTGTTCTAAGTTCGGAACCGAAACCGCGGTTTCTTTCGTTTCGATTCGAAGTTGAGAACCGGAATCGCGGTTCTATTCATTTCGGTTTCGCATGAAAAATCGGAACCGTGATTCTCAGTTCCGGAACATCCTCAGATACAACTGAACAGAATTTTTCGTAAGCACCGAACACATGTATTTGAGAGAGATAGACTGCAGTTTCCTTGTCGTACAGTTAGTTAATTAATTTATTAACATACATTAAACACCATATTGAAAACGGAGATGGGCGAGCAGATTCTCGGGTACGAGTTTTCTAAAAAGTACTCGAGTACTACTCGAGTACTTTTTTAGAAAATACTCGAGTACGAAAATTTTTAAAAGAAAATACTCATGAAAAAAGTATTTTAATTATAGGTTATTGTATGTTAAAAAATTTCAAGTACTCGAAAATACTCGAGTACATTTTTAAGTACTCGTAAAAAAAAGTCCCGAGTACGAGTACTGAAAATTTTGTACTCGAGTATACTCGTACTCGCTCATCTCTGATTGGCAACGATTTAAATTAGCAGCAATTTTCATATTTTTCTTTTTGCGCAAATTCAATTTTTTTTCGAGAAAACATTCGTATGGCAAGTGCATCAAAAAGAGTAGTAAAGACCACTATAAATGTCATTAATTTGTCAAAGACAAACCTTACTTATTCCATAATTTTTGCGGTTTACTACATTCGAGCGACATCCTTAAACGTTTCCCGAATGGCTTTTCGAACACGACAAATCAAGTCTTTATTTGTTAATGAGTCATACATAAGATAACAGAACTTGAATAAATAACTGATAACGAGGATGCCCATTATGTGACGTCGAGTTATCTTCTTCTGTGGATAGAACTAGGTAACACTTATCTGCAATTTGCTGGACGCTTGACTTTAGTCGCGCTGCATGTCGTGGTCACTCATTGCGTGCGCAAATGCATGTCCATTGGTAGTAATACAAATGAAGGAGAACGTGCACTCCTCCTCAGCACTCACAGCATGCATTTATATCAACAGAAAATGCACGAGTTTATATCAACAGAAAGGTTTTCTTTATCGTTGTTGCTTTTATCTTTGCTTTTGTAGAGTACTCAAAGAGTTTTCTGAAGACCTTGTAGAGATCCCCAGGTGCCGTTTACTATGGTCACTCATCGTTTCTCACTCAAATCAGCAAAACTGGTTGAAAACTTGGAAGTTTTCTGTCTGATCTGCTAACATTTTTCGATAATTACATCAACATAGCTGTTCGGGATATACTAGACTTCAATTCAGAAAACAATTCGATTATTAAAAACTATTCCGAGGTGCGGAATGTCTCATTTTGTAGAGAAATGTTTGCTCCATATGTCTGTTGCAAGAAAAAAATCGAACTGCCATCTGTTTGACAATAAAGCAGATGCGAATGTTTTTAAATAACTGTTGAATGAAAGATGCTAGAGATCTACGGTCTTCATGAATCGAAAGACCTGACTGTACATAGAAAATGCATTTCGAAAATCCTTTTAAGTACGTTTCTAGAGAGTCTCTAAGAAGCAGATTTGAGTCGTCACAAATGGAATAGGAACATTTTAGTTTTTTGATAAGTAGTTAGTCGCAGATGTCTTCGCCAAAACGAGAGACAAGCGGTTTTCAACAGACCTTACTATAAAACAAACCGTTTTTTTATAAGGTTTTTCTCTAAATTTTTAAATGAAGACGGTTATAGAACAATTCAAGTTCATTAAAACTTAGAACTTTCAAGCCGTTTGGATCTATTTTGAGTTATGAATATCTTTTTCGTTGTTAGGTAAAATAGTCAAAAATCGCTTATTTTAGCAAAAGTTCGTTTTCATTATGTTTTGGGATGAAAAAAATATTGGTGGAAACGCAAAGTGTTCCCCATTTCATTTTTGAAGATTCGAGCTTCTTTCTCAGAGACTTTCTAGAGCTCTAGTTAAAAAGAATTTAGATACACATTGTCTATGAAAATATCGGATGTTCCAAATTAGATATCTAGTATTTCGTCTAGAACTTTTCAACTATCTACGAACTAGAATTACTATCTACGAGAAAAGCTTTCTTAGAGGTTTAAATTCAGTGCACTCAAAACACCTGAACATGTCAAGTAAAGAAAAGAAAACAATTGCTATCATAAGCCCCGGAGATATGGTACGCCACATCTTCTTTAACCAAAAGACTAGTTTCATATTTTACTCTATTTAGGGTCATGCGATCGGTTCTGTGTTGTCGAGACATGAGAATATTCGTGTCATAACAAATGTCGTTGGTCGAAGTCCACGAACAGTGGACTTAGCTAAAAAAGCTGGGATGATCACAGTAAATTCGTATACGGAACTGATTGAACAAGTTGATGTTCTATTATCAATCCTGGTACCATCACAAGCGATAAAACTAGCAAAACAAATTCAGCAGGCAATAAAACCAGACTCAAAATTCATCTATGCTGATTTGAATGCTGTGTCACCATCTACTGTTAAACAAATGGAACAATTATTTGATAAGTATCCTAATATTCAGTTTGTTGATGGAGGTGAGTTCTTTCGAAGTCAAACTGCTGTTAACAGATGAAATTGTTACTATTCAGGCATTCTTGGTGGTCCACCCGATTTAAATGGGAAAACGCCAAAAATTTATTTATCTGGTGAACATGCACAACAGTTAGAATTTCTCCGTGATTACGGTTTAGATATTCGTGTTATTGGCAATGAAGTGGGTCAAGCTTCGGGGCTAAAAATGTGTTATGCAGCCACATTGAAAGGATTCACTGCCATCGCTATTCAAGCGAGTGTAACAAGTAAAATGCTGGGATTGGGTGAGGTTTTATTTAATGAATTGAAGGACAGTCAGCCGTATGTTTTCAAGAGAATGCAATCAGGTATTCCCGATATGGCCCCCAAAGCATATCGATGGGTGGGAGAAATGGAGGAAATAGCATCCACATTTGAATCCATGGGATTGTCTCCCAAAATATTTCAGGGTGCTGCGGACACTTATCGATTTGTAGCTGATCAAACTCCATTGGGAAAAGAAATTGTTGAAGACAGAAAACTGGGAAAAACATTAGGTGACGCCGTAGATATCATGGCACAGAGTTTAGCAGGAAAAAAACCTTGAATATTGTGATAAAAAAATAGTGATTATCTTAAGTATGCAAAAGTAGAAATCAATCAAATTTTATACTTGATCCTGAATTAAAAATCCTCCCTAAAATTTTTCAATAAAAAAAACGATTATGCCCAACAGAATACTTGCACTATGCCTCATAGTCGTACATGTTGTACGTTTTTTAACATCCAAACAGTTATAATAGGAAGTGATGATAAACGGTAAAATTTCAACCAGAAAAATAAATACGAATCGTTTATATCAACTATTTAGCAACCAAATTGACGAAATGTAACGTTTATCCCGGATCATTAGTCGATTTTGACCTCTTGTGAACGGATTACGACGTTGAACGCATTCAATATGACCATCGTTACACTAAGTCTTTCGAAGCAAAATGTCCGACCTTGCCATTTTTAGAACTTACATAGTAACCTATATTCAAAAACTGTCTGAGATATAGAACAAACTTAGTTTTGTCCATTGCCACAAGTCTCAACCTTTCATCTCTGATGTTCCGGGAGCTACAGGCATTCTCCGAGGACCTTTCTATCCTCGAGCTGACAAGTCTGGGAACCTAACAAATTACTTGAAACATAGATAATCAACTATGGTGATTGTCGTGGCAATGTTTATTTTTGTCTCTATATTGAAGGGAGTTCACCTGTGCGGTTTTTTCTCGAAAATCGAGCTTTTCCTATTTCCGTGTAAACGTCTAATAG